TTAAATGGTTTGGGTTTGCACAAGCTCTAAAAAGGATTTGTAGTATTCACATAAACTTGCTCTCTCTTGAGCCCCAAATAAGAAAGAAATTTAGAATACAATAAGAATAGAACACTGAAAGGGACATGCATTTATACTCTCTCTGCATTACAGACGTTTATAGTGTTCTTACTTGCATTGATCCTGTATTTAGGGATCATTGCACTTTATCACATGGCATCTATTAATGAGTTGTAATAAAAGTGCCCCAACTGTGATTTTTTAACAGTATGGCAAAATATACTTTAAAATATATTGTAATAAACCACAAAATTAAAATGTAATGGGTAAAATTCTAGACATATAGCACATAACAAATTAAACCAGGGTGATATAAACAGCTTAACAAACAAATCTCTTAAAAACAAGAAAATTGAAGCAATAGAAAAAAATGTCTCCCTGCTTTAAAAAAAAAAAAAAAACTATACAAGCCCAGATGGACTCACTGTGATTCCCACCAGATTTTCAAGAAGGACTACCACCTGTGCACCTCAAACTAATCCATAATTAGAGAAAGAAAGAAAGCAACCAAGCTATTTTCATGAAGCCAGTATTGCCCCAGTTCCAAAATCAGAGAACATAACAAAAAAGAAAATTATAGAACATTTCCCATGATGATGATAGATGCAAAAGGTCTAAATGAAATACTGGCAAACTAAATTCAAGAACACCTCAAAATATCATTCACTATGAGCAAGTTGATTTCTTCCCAAGTGTGCAAGATTGGTTCAACACATGCAAATCAATAACTATTTTTCAGCATATAAGTAGACTTAAGGACAGAAATTACATAATCATCTCAATATATGCAAGGAGAAGGCTTCTGCAAAAAAATTCAGTATCCCTTCACAACAAGTGCCCTGAAGAGATGAAAAATAGAAGGAACACATCACAATAAGGTAAAGGCTATATTTGAGAAATGCAAAGCCAATGTTATGGTAAGTGGGAAGAGACTGAAAGCATTTCTGCCAAAATCAGAATAGGAAAAGGGTGTCCACTCCTCCACCTTATTAAATAGTTAGTGCTTGAAATCTTAGTTAGAGCAATAATGTACAAGAGAGAAATTAAAAGGATGTGACAAGGAAAAGAAAATGTCAAAATATTTTTTTTATTTCAAATGGCATCATCCTACATAGAAAAGACCCTAAAGATTCCATCTGAAACTCTTAGAGCTGATAAACACTTAGAGAAAATTGACAAATTATAAAGTCAACAGTAAAAATCAGTTGCCTTCCCCCCATATGCCAATAATAAACATGCTTTAGTAGAAGAACAGGAAAACAACCTCAGTCACCACAGCCCTAGGAAACACCTACATGAACTAATAAAACACCTAAAAATGAACTTAACATGGAAAAATGAAAGACCTTCCCAGTGAAAAAATTAAAACCATGAAGGAAGAGAACCTCTTCAAGAGATTGTGTGAGGAGACCGAACAGCCACACATGAAAGAATGAAATTAGATTTCTGTCTCACACCTCTATACAAACCAACACCCACTGGATCGAAGGCCTTCAAATCAGATCTAAAATTCTGAAATTGTTAGGGAGGAAAACTCAAGAAATCATTTCAATATACAGGAATAGGCCCCAGCTTCTTGAAAGTGACTCTAGTTACTTGTGAAGTCATGCCCACACCAGATCATTGGAGTCATGTGAAGTTGAAAAGCTCCTGTGCAGAAAAGGAGGGAATGAAGCAAAAGCCCACTGGAGGGGAGAAAGCTTCTGACAGAAAAGTAATACCTAGAATGCACAAAGAATTTGAAAACTAAATACTGGGAGTCAATCACATTACCCAATTAAGGGGGTTGGGGAGATGACTCGGTGGTTAAGAGCACTTATTGCTCTTGCTGAAGTTCGAGATTCAGTTCCCAGAACACACATGGTGATCCACAACCATGCATAACTCCATTTCCAGAGAATCTGATAACCTCTTGTGGACTCTGTGAGATCCAGTCATAAGGCACACATACAACCATGCAGACAAAACACTCAAAATAGAATATATAGGCACAAGAAAGAAACTGATAGTACTGAAAAGATAAAGTACAACAGCCAATAAACATGAAAAAACTTCAACATCACTACCCATCAGAGAAATATCACCCTAGTCAGAACAGCTGTCATAAGAAAAGCAGAACATACATCTGTCTAGTTGGACTGGCACTATTTGTTGAAGATGATGTCTTCTCCAGTGTATAGTTTGGCTTCTATGTTAAAAATAAAGAGTTCATGGGTGTGCAGAATTATGTTTTAATCCTATTCCACTTGTCAGTGTGTCTGATTTATGACAATTTCCTGGTGTTTTTATGACTACAGCTCTGTAATATAACTTGAAATCTGAGATGATGAGACTTCTAGCAGCTCTTGTTTAAGATTACATTTTCAATTCTGTGAATAATTGTGTAGGAATTTTGGTGGAAATCATATTGAATCTGTAGGTTGATTTTTGTTGGGTGGCCATTTTGACAATATTGATACTACTGATGATCTAGGAAAGCTATTCCCTTGAAATTTCAACACTATTGCTGCCTAAACAAACCTAAACAATACCAGTTGACCAGTTGATCAGTTGACATGCCAATTTCAAGGGGGGATTTTAGGAAGCCCCCACTCCTAAATCAAGAGCTACAAGCAATTAATTGCTACTGAGGGGGGAAGATTTGTTTTTTCCAGAGATGAGATTCTCAATAAGTAAATTATACAATCTCAAGTGGTCAGCACAAACACATATACCAATGAGAAACACTAAATAGATTCAGTAGGTTGTGTGCATGTGTGCGTGTGTGTGTGTGTGTGTGTGTGTGTGTGTGTGTGTGTGTTATGTAACAATATTAAAGAAGAAAAAGTCATGAATTTGAGAGGGAGAGGAGTGAGACATGGGATAAGTTGGAAAGGAATGAGAGAGGTGAAAATGATATAAATATGATACTGATGTATAAAAGTCTTAAAAATAAAAATTTAAATGAAAAAGATATGTTACATATGCACAAAAGAATTTTATATATTTTGTCATAAAGAACAAACTTATCCAATCTACAGGAAAATTTATCCAACTTCAGATTATCATTTTAACAAAATTACATCAAATTCAAAAAGACAAATGTTATGTGTGTTTTCTACTATTGATGGATCCTGTATTTTATATAATACATAAAATCATGTATATAAACATGTATGGCATAAAAATAGAAGTGTAATTGTCTAAGGGAATGAGGGTGCTAATAAAGGATAGGAAGGGAATGGAGAACGGAAGAAAGTGGGGAGGAAAAGGGGGGAAGAAAGAAAGGGAGGAGGGAAACTAAGTATATGGGTCATTGTCAAAATACATTTTATCCTAATATGAACATGCTCTTGTGAAACCTAGGACTCTATACAACAAATACATATCAATAAATGTATTTACAAAGATTGCTAAGAAATATAACATACAAAATCAAAAGATAACAAAAGTTTACTTGGCTGGAAACTGAGGACAGAGGAAAAGGAATTTTTGAACACTGTAGATGGGAATGTACACAAATTCAGTCCTCATAAGAAACCACATGGATGTTCCTAAATAACAAAATTGTCCTCTAGGCTAGGGGTCACATATCAGATATCCTGCATAGCAGATATTTAAATTACAATTCATAACAGAGCAAAATTACTGTTATGAAGTGGCCATGAAAATAATTTTATGGTTGGGGGTCAGCACCGACGTAAGGAACTGTATTAGAGGGTCACGGCATTAGGAAGGTTGAGAACCACTGCTCTAAACAATATCTCTAGTTATACAAAGGAAGTGAAATCATCACCATATAAAGGTTAAAAAAAATATCAAATTAACTCACCAAACAGATACCATGTCCAATAGCTAGGGGTGGGTAGTGGTGAATGGTGGGTCAGAATCATACGGAGGACTTAGAGAAAAACGTGTTCCCAGTATGTTGCCAGAGATGCTGACACTAGTGTATATACTAGCACAGAACCATGGAAACGAATTGTTCAAATGTAGCCTGTCTGGAGACATTTCAGATGGTAATGACCTGAAGTGGTGTGTGCTAATAGTAGATAATGGGTAGACAGGCCAGGGAAGCCGCTATACAGCTTACCACGCACAATCAGGCACCTACAAAAAACATTTTCCAGTCTAAATTTCCAATAGTGCTGAGACTGAGAAGTTTTTATCTAAAGAGAGTAGCTATCTACCCTATACGTCTTGCAGAGTTCGTAATTAATCAAGTGAATCAAAGTGTCAAGTGTTCTTAATCAAGGATTTTAAACATTAGTCCACAGCATCAAAGAAAATTTCACAAATATCCTACCTCATAGTTGTTAGTAATGATATGTCTAGACACATTTCTAAAGAAAAAGGTTGTGGGAGAAGTTTCGAGAAGTTGCTTGAAACGGATGTGATGTTTGTCGTGGGAATCATCTGGTTAGATTATGACTATTCTGAAGAAATGATTTAAAGGTTAACTGATGCTTAAACTTGTTTAGAGTTAGCAGAAATCCCTCCTTAAGTACCGTGATGGAAACAGAACTTCTTCCATCCCATAGCTGCCATCTCACCATCCAAGCAGAAGAAAGCCAGCTTGTCAAATGTCCACACGACTTTCCAACAATGGGTTTGTCCTTTTTTACCCTCATCTCAGTCTGTTTCACGGACGCACTTTCCTACTTTTATTCCATCTCTAGGGATCAAATGCTCCTAAGGAGGAAGTATAATAAATTACTGGAAGTTATTTTGGTTCCTGTCAATGCAAGGTTTGGATTAATAATGAAACCAATTAAATCCTCAAATACCTCCGATGGCAACAATAAAAATTTAATTTCCAGGGAGCAGTGAGGTTAGCTATGTTGAACACCATATGCAATCACATATTTTCAAGCACTGGGGACTTCTACTATTTTGTCAAAGAAAAAGCACCTCACTGGTTTGATCAAAGTGATAACAAAAGAATGTATGCTCTTTCCTAGCTGTCTTGTGCATCTCTGATGATAACCAGTCTGCAGAAATGACAGAATGCCTCAAGCAGATGAATGGCATGCCACCCCTGGTGCAAGAATGCACCATTCCTTGTCGGGAAGACTGCACCTTCACCCCTTGGTCTAAGTTTACACCCTGCTCCAAGAACTGTGAAGCAACCCAGATCAGGAGACGGCAACTCACAGGTAGGATGTGCCTGCCATTGCTGCTTCAGCCAAGGCACTCTGCTCAGAATACCTTATGTAAAACACAAGTTCCAACAGAAAGAAATGTGATCTGCTATCTCCTTCCTCTGCACTCCCAGTACATACCCTTAAGTCTTGCAGCAATATCTAATTCCTAGTAGATACCTGGCTAATATTTGTGAGGTGAATGGAAGATAGGACCATTGATGTCCATTAAGTTTTCTACATAGTTTTATAATCCTTATGCTCATAAGGTGAATTTTATGCAACAAATTACTTTGCATATCCCATGGCAAAGTTCCTGGTGTGTTATCTTAACAAAAGTTTGGCAAGCTTAAAAACAGTCACTGCTATTTCTTTCTTTCAGAAAGAAGGTGAAATAACTGACATTATTGTCATTTGCCATTACCTGATAAGCAATTTGACCCTTTCAGACTTTAATGGTATAAGGTAAAAGTCAAATTACACATGCGGATTCTTTTGTGTCTTATTACATCCTGTCAGAATGTAATAAGATACTGTGTATCTCTGCAAAGGTTAATAGAAATTGAAGCAGATCCGAGTTTAGTTGGCATACTAGAGCATTTTTTTTTTTGCTGGCAATATAAAAATAACTGCTGCAAAATGTACTGTTTGTGTAGATAATGTCATGTGATTTCTCTTAAGTGTATATGTGTGTTTGTAGGAAATGAAATTCAGGGAATGGAGAACCAAAAGAAAAATGCCCAAATAATCACTGAGATGATGTAATTGGCATCAACATTGAAGGATTTTGCACAGATGATCATTGGTTTTTGTGGGCAGTTCAAAGTCACTTGGCTTCAAGATCCACTGTTCAAGAGCACTATTTACCTGATCACATTAATAATTCAGCTCTCTAAAATTGGTTCACTTGATAGACTAGAGCTTTTGCAGAATTTCTGCATACATACTGCACCTAGAAATCTACACGCCAAGTGAAGGAAAAATATATAATCAGAAGAGAATTTGCAAATGAGGGATGCCGCCCTTACTGCTTTGTATAAAAGGACTGTCCATATGTAATTATATGTAACACTGCTTTCATGGTTCAGATAAAAACATCTCATAGAAAAAGCAATCCAATAGGATAGAACAAACATGACAGACCAGATCTGAACTTGGAGACCAGTCTCCAGCTACATCCTGCACATACACAGTGTGTCAGAAGCCATTACTCCAGCAACGCTTCACATCTCTGAGGTAAAGGAGAACTTCCAGTGGTGAGAAAGATTGTAGTTAGTAGCCAGGGTTATCCCTTGTCTTGGAGGTTTGCTAATGATATTTAGCTAATGATATTTAAAATAAGAGGGACTGTTTTACAGCCAGCACCATTTTTGTTGTAAATTGTTAAAAGTTGAATGAATTTGAACTTTAAGATGTATTTTCTATAAAAGTACATATTGAAGACTGTTTTAAATTATCCTATGATTCAAACTTAGTGATTACTTATACTAAAAGGTTGCTCAGGATTTATTGTTTGTTTTACTCCCTGCTACTGTTTTAGCTAGCTAATTGATTTTTGCACTCCTTCTGTCTAGATGACAACACAATTGATCTGTTTCATAAAATACATTAGTCATGAAAAAACAAAGAACCATTTAGAAGAATATTGATACACAAAAAGCCAAAGACACATTAAAGAACTAATGTTTATTTCTGCCCCACTTTCAAGGCTTATTATAATGATGTTAATTCTTGTGTTTTGACTTTCTCCCGTGATATTTGGCAGAAATCTTAATGAATATTCTCTAACATTAATGCCAATAGGAGCCAGATGACTTACACCATGGAACATAGACACACAAGGCACTCTGGTGACTATTGGCCATCTAGAATGTCACCTTTTTTGTTGCAGCTCCTACTAAGGGTTTTTAATTTACCATCTGGGTGTTCCTTATTTGTTTCTAAACTATTCTTTACAGACTCTAGATGGAACGATAAGTAAAGCAATTGTTTATTAAATGATAGATATATTGAATTCATTATCCAGGAACATACACATTACTATATCACTCACAGTTTGACTTAAGGGGAAAGGTCCTTGCCTTTGTGCTGGGGACTGATTTGTTTAGTCTAGCTTGGTCTGAGTCTAAAGGTCAGTGCTGGTTTTGATTAGAATGCAATCAAAGTGAAGCCCAGGTACTAATGTGTTTCTTATTGGTGGAATCCTTTCCACATTAACTCACTTCAATCCTTCTTCAAACAGGGTGGCCGTGTAATTAAGAGGGAAATCACAATCAGAGACAGCATCTATTTGTATAGGATGTTTGTTCCCTGCTAACTTCTGTTTTCTTTGTCGATGAACATGTTTTCCCCTGGTCTTCCTTCTTGTCATCCCCTTTCTCCTCCTGTTGCCCTCCACTGCAGAGAGAGAATTAAGCTGGAGACTTAGAGGTGTGAGCACATAGAGGGGTGTCTGCTAGAAAAAAAAGAAAGGATGACTTAAGGGCTCCTGGAACATTATTCCAAATGTTGTCATTAGTCCTATGTAGGGATTGTACCAAAATAATTCAGGTGTGACACTGTAATCTCCCCTGGCATTGTTGGCAAATACAGGGCAGACTGTGGGGCAGGGGGTAAGCTCAGTTTTACTGCAGTGAATTCAACAACTGTTGGAGGTGCAGGCTTCTAGCCTGTGGTCCACAGACTTGAGCAAGAAATCTTGGGTAACATTAATAATTTGGAGCGTAGGAATTATAAATAGTAATTTAAGCTCTACTACATGAGCCCAGAGATGAGAACCTAGCAGGGTCCAATGAGGAAACTCATCAGCCCAATGCAGTGCAGATGGAGAACATTCACTAAACAGGTAAAGCTGTAATAGTGACATGTGGCTGGTGGGATGGTGGAACCCAGAACAGGAGTAAGGGTCAAAAGAGTGTATTATGATGGAATATAAGAAAATCTCAAATATAAGGTGATAATCAGCACTCTGAAAGATCACTGACAATCAAATTTGAAAGAAAAAGAAATTGCTTCCTGATGCATGCATCTTTGTTTTATCATTTTGGTAAAAGTGATGCCAAGGCCCAGGGTAGGCTTGGAATCCAAGACTAAGTAGGCTGAAAACAAAGAGGAAGGTGCAGAGACGGAGATGAAGTTCAATAGCATTTCCTGTGAGGAGTACAGCTCTAGCCACGGCGGGTAGAAAGGAATGGGACTGTGCAGTGATGAATGTCATAGCCAGGAAGCTTTCAGGGCAGTGATGATATCTGTGTTCGTCAAACTGATTCTAAGTGTCCCTAATGGCAGACATGAGTGAATGCAGCACCCTGAAAGGCCAAAACATGGTTCACATCATGGTAGAACAATCCTTGGTAAAGGTATAGTTCACATCAGGCAAGAGAGATTCAGATTTCAAAGGAATCCTTCCAAATTATTTGTAAGCATAAATAACATGCTCATATGTCAATCACCCACCAGGCAACATTTGTAGAGTCGTGCATGAGGCAGACCATGTGACAATGAGAAAACTGCCCACACATCGGCTTATATCAAGTATTTGCAAGATAGCCATAAAGCTCACAAATGGACCAGTAAAGCTGCCTATGACCTGTATAACCAGAGTGTGACTTAAGCTAAGGACTCACTAATGAGAGACGAAATGATGAAATGATTTCATCTAGGAAAGTTATAACAACATAGAGGGAACATGTTGACAGAGAAGTTACATCAAGTCTCCGGCCAGGCTGGAATTGGGAAACATGATATTCAAGTAGTCACAGGTCTGAAAATGACAGTTTCTACATTGTCATTACTCAAAGATGGGAATACAGCTAAAAGTTCTGCCAGTTAGTAGGTAAGATGAAGTCACACCAAGATTGTCAAGTTCAAAGGGTTTCTCAAATGGAAGTCACTGATTTTTCTCTAACCACGAAGTGGGTTCTGGTTTTTTATTTCAAATCATTGCTAATTTTAACATTTATAAGGTGTCTGATTTCAGGAAACAAGGTGAGTTTCACTTTGTGCATACCATGATGTAACCTCCACCTTCATTTTGAGCTTCTCATGATGTGGAGAAGATAATTTGGCTTTTTGGGGAATTTAATTTGTAGTTATTTGCAGGAAAAGGAAAGGGCTTACCACTTATGCTTTTATTGGTTTCCCTGGAAATCATTCAGGAAGATAAGAGTAACCAAACTGTTGGTAAATAAGTAGAGTGACAGTGATATCACCTGAACATACCCCATCTTGTCTGAGTCAGGTTTGCTGGGTTAGGAACAGGGTGGGAGAAAAATATAAAAGAAAATAATGAGAGTTTTATAAAGAGAGACCTGGCACAGCAAGCATGATGCTTTGTGCCATGTTTAAAACAAAAATCTTTTTTTTTTCTTTTCAAATTAATTTGAATTTCATGGTTTCTCAGAATACTGCTTACATGGTCCTAGAATTTATTTCCATTTCCATGGCAAAAAAAAAAAAAAGAGTTATAAAAAGATTTGAAACTTTATTTAATGCTTAACGTTCAACTGGTTGTTTATATACAAAAATGTGAGTGGCTTTCAACAGAACATCAGGTACAAAACTAACACCACTGTGTGTCTTGTAACAGGGAAAAGCAGGAAGAAAGAGAAATGCCAGGATGCTACCCTGTACCCTCTGGTGGAAATGGAACCGTGTCCCTGTGATGCATTCATGTCCCATCCGTATGGAAACTGGTCAGCTTGCATTCTACCGGAAAGCAAAAGGGATCCTCAGCGAGGAGGCTTGTGGGCGCCAGGAGCTGACAAAGAATGTGGAGAAGGCGTGCGCTATCGAGCAATAGCATGCTCTGATAAAAACGGAAGACCCGTTGACCCCTCGTTCTGCAACAGCACTGGTAAGGAGGTGGATGAGGAGGAGCAGCTAAGGACTTGTATGGCACTCGGGAGGTTTGTCCAAGGTCTAGAAATTATCAGAGAGTCATTCTTTAAGAACGACTGTCATTCTCATTTGTCAATAGCATACTGCCACTGTGAAGATCTGAACTATACCAATGGCAGATGCTTGATCCCGCTAGTCTTTCCTTAATTCACCTTGCCTTGTTGGTCACTTGCTTCCTGTTAGTCAGCAAGGTTGTTTCTTTTCACTGAAAAAGCTCAAGCCCCATGTAAATGAATACAGATTTTGTGGTGGTTTTTTGTTTTTGTTTTGTTTTGGTTTGGTTTTTTATGCTTTCGCCATATACATAGCGGGGAAATCACCATTTGAGTTTCTTCTGGGGTAGCTGATAAAATATCAATTGGAAAAACTGACTTTCAATGTTTCCAGTGTAAATATAAATGCACACAAGTGAATAAAATAATAGAAATGAATGGGGCCATCTGGGTGAGTCTTGTTAGATATTATTTGGAGAGAAGATTGAATTTTTGAGCCTCGGAATGTCTGAGCTATGAGTGACTGGAAGGCTAAATTCACCTGCTGTGCAGGTGGTGGACAAAGCTGCGGCTGGCGGTCAGGATGGAGGCTATGCATTTCTGGCTTAAATTTTCTCCTTATGTTACCTTTTATTTACAAGACCAAACAAGGTATGGGTTCCAGAGAGGAGTAGACAAAGAGGAAATTCGTGTTTGGTTAATTGTGTAAGCAGATGGATAGAATTTATTCTTAGCCATTGATATCTTGGTTTTAGACAGCTTTTTTCATTAATAGCAGAAACAGCAGAGTAAATTTGGTTCTAATGTGAGAGTAAGGCAAATGGCAGTTTTGTTATAGACAATATAGTCCATCTCTAGGTAAGACACACCCCTACCATTGTTTACCTGCAACTCCAGGGTCAGGGATTCTTTGAATTACCGCCACTGGCGCCACCATCTGGCTCCTTGGTTAGTCTGCAGAACTGTATGGAGTGATCTGACTTTTATAAATATTAAACAGCAAAAAATGAACACATTCTAAGGAAGTCAGAGTTGGTAGCATTCATCTTTCATTGCATACTTGTTTTATATATTCACTATGTAAAAGCATATATGTTGAATATTTGCTGCATACCTCCCTTCTCCCTTCCAAATGCTAAGTAGGCTGAATGCTGCTAGGCTCCAGAGATTTAGGATCATCTGGCTGTAGACCTAATTTTCTTCAATAATTTGTGTTCACTAGTGTAAGGTTATTGAGGGACCCAGGAAGAATTTTTACAGTAAGAGATTGACATTTAAAGAAGCACAAAAGGAATGTAAGTCCTGATTAGCTCTGAGGATGCTGACTAGAAAATACTTGGCTAGACCTTAGGGAAGCCCTCACTGGAGTGCTGTCAATCTGCAATGAGAAAGATGAGAAAACAGGAGAGTAGATAGTACATACCAAGACCATTTCCCTCAGTTAGATCTCAAGCCGGAAGTATGCTCCGGAAAATAATAGTACAAAAAGGAGCACTTTTCCTTTGAATGCTCAGTGAGGGAGGAGTTATACAAAGTGAGGTTGAAGTCAGGAGAGTCTTGGGAAATCAGCTCAGGAGCATAGATCTCATTCAACTGCAGCAATAAGCTGGGGAGAGGGAGAGGGAGAGCAGCTGATGTCATTCGTGTTTCAAAAAGACTGCTTCTAGCCACTGTCTGCAGAAAGACTTAAAAGAGGAAAGGGCACCCCTGGAACCGATGTCCATTTGCCAAGGTAAGGCATGAGGGGAGGATAGGAGAAGATGATGGCAATAAAGATACTTAAAGAACTGCCTTAAAGTGAAGACCATAGAGCACATTGAAAAGATTCTTCACCCACAAGGACATTCATCTTCTTCAGATGTTGTTATCTTAGTTAGCTCTTCCTTCATGGTGACAAGATTCCTGAGAAAGCAACTTGAAAATCAGGAAATCTCCCATGAAATTCAGGGTCTCAGAGTTTTCAGTGTGTGGGCAATCATCATCATTGCTCTTCGACATATATCAAGGAAGCAGCAGAGCTCTAGGTTGTAGTAGAGGAAAGCTGCTCACCTCGCAGTTTCCAGGAAGCAGAGAGAGGGGAGAAGGAAAAGCTACAGCTTTCAAAGGTATGGCCCTAGCAGCCTTTCTCCAAGTCATAGCCTTAATATGAACTCAGCGACAGACTAACCCACTGAGGGAGCTAGTGCCCTCATGATCCAGTTACCTCTCAATAGCACCACCTGCTAGAGACCACACCCTCCCCACGTGCACCTTTCTGCAGAGCATTTCATATTCTCACTGTAACATTTCACATCTGCACTAGTGACTCTCCTGTCTTGGCACTGTGATAAAACATGTGATATGTGGCTTAAGCAGTTTAGCAGTGGAAGAGTTTAGTTTGGCGCTTGGCTTGGGGGTAAAGTCTATCACAGCAGGGAGGCATGGTGACAGGAGCTGCTTATGGATGTGGTGGCAGGAATATGAATCTACCTTCACACATCTTAGGGGATTGCTAATGCCCATCTGGCTTTCTCCTTTCCCTCATGTTCATTCAGTCTAGAACTTCAGCCTAGGAGATGATACCATATACAATCTAGGTAGGTCTCCCTCACACAGTTATTCCCTATGGAAACACCTCCATGGACATACTCAAGGTGACCTTGAGGTTTATTAACCCAGTCAAATTAGCCCTCCTGGTACCCCCAAACTCACGTTGTTCTCATCATAAAACTGTACTCAGTCCATCTTCAAGAGTCCTTACAATCTTCTCATTTCCAGCATTGCCTTGCACAAAAATTCCAAATGCAAAGTTTCTTGTGAGACTGAAGGTAAACTCTTAGTTGTGGGCCCTGCAAGATCAAAATGAAAATACTTATTTCCAGCTTACGGAAGTAGACACAGTATACATTCCTATCAAAAAAGGGAGGGGGTAGTAGAAAAATAAGGAAGTATTAGACCAAAGCAAGACCAAAACCTAACAGGGCGAATATCAAAACCTTGTTTGTCATCCTTAGCTCACAGCAAGGGTAATATGAGCTTAAAGGACTTAAGCAGCACTGCCCATGGGCTTGCTGGTTGTCATTCCCAAGGCCCTTCTCTGAGGCTGGTGCTGCTTATTCATAGTAGCTTTGCCTGCAGACAGTCTTCCTTTCCAGGGTCTTTCTCTCCACCTCAGTTTCTCTCTCAGCTCCATCTATCATGCCTTTAGGAGCCTCTTACAAAGATTTCAACCTTCTGACATATTCTCTAGCTTCCTAAAGTGTAGTGGATATGGAAGAAGGCATTCCCAGGGCCTTGCCACTTGGCCAGTATTGATGTTGACTCTAATACCTTTCTGCAGAAAATAAGGTATATTTTGATACTTCTTAAGGGAGAATCCCAAATGAAACCCGTATGTAACTTCCTTCAACCTAATTGTAAAAGAGGTATTTGTTTATGTGGTACAAGAAAATAAACAACTTGCAAACAGGTGATTTTCAATTAATCAATACTGGTTTCTATATTTCCTTCAGGGTAAACAATTAAAAATCCTATGAAGACATGCAAAGTATATCATTATCTGCCATGCTTTAAAAAGTAACTTAGGGGCTGAGGAGATTGCTCCATGGGTAAGGATCCTTGCTTTGCAAGCCTGAGGACCTAGTTTTAATCCTCAACATCCAGCACCCAAATGAAGTAAAACATTGGGAATGGCATTGTTGCCTGTGCCTAATAACCTGAGCATTTGGGGATGGAGACAAAGAGATCCCAAGAATGCTCTGGCCAGCAAACCTCACCAAATCAACAAGCTTCAAGTTCAGTAAGAAACTTTTATGCAGGACAAGAAGAGACCTCCTATGGAGGTTCATGCACCCATATATCCATGTGCATCTGCATTACCATACCATACCCTCTCATGCATACATACATACACTAAAATATATAATATAGTATGGTATGGTATGATATGATATGATATGATATATGATATGATATGATATGATATATGGTGAGGACCAGCCAAGATGTGTACTGTCCACTTCCATTAGGCATTGCCCTGGAGAGTCTATCCCAGGCAATGTGGCAAACTATAAAATAAATGAAATGAAATAATGTTTTAAAGTGCTTAGATTTAAAAGGAAGATGTAAAACCATTACTCTTGCAAATAACATGTGCCTGTAAAGAGCAACCCCTTAGGGAACCCTGTTTTCTCCAACCCTCACAGTTAATAAATGAATCCAGTAAGTTTTCAGGGTGCAATATAATATTTCAGAAGTCAGCTATAATTATATTAACAAGGAATAATCAGAAAATATAACTAAGAAGAAATTTTTTATTAATAATAGCATCAGAGTCTGGGTCCATGCTGCAGCCATGGGCCATGTCTAGGTCCAAGGTCCTATGGCAACCAAAGTCTGTGTTGATGTCTGTGGCCCATGTTACCACCAAAGGCCATGCAGATGTATGTGGTCTGCTCTGTCACCTGAAGCTATGATGATGTCCGTGGTCTGGGCGGCCTCTGAGCCTTCTCTGGGTCCTTGGTCCCACTGCAGCAAGGCCACTGAGGGCAGGCCACTGAGAATTTGACCATGCTCCAGGGAGTATATAGATAACACAAATTAGACTTGTTTTTGGGGGGAAGGGGCCTCACGGATCAGGGGTTGGATATGGAAGGACTGAGGAAGTGAGTATGATCAGATTGCATGATGTGAAATTCCCAAAGAATCGATAAAAATATTATATTAAAAAATAATAGCATCAGAAAAATCCAATGTATTTAACAATAAATTTTAACAAAGGAAATTAAGAATATGCGTTCTGAGTACAATAAAGTACTGTTTAGAGAAATCAGGTACCTAAATAAATGGGAACACACGATAGCAATGGATGAGAAATCTTCAAATGGCTAAAAATGAAGTGTTTCTCAGTTGACCTACAGATTCAGTGTAATCTCTACCCAAAGTTTGATTTGCTATTTGAATAAATATAGAGATGACGTGAAAA